ATACTAGGGCTGCTCCTCCAAGCTCGTGTGGTGCCCTTCCTCCTGGCTGGAAGATCGCTTGACAGACAGACCAGGTGCTGCTGGCCACATTTCACAGGTGACACAGGCTCCCAGGCAGGAAGCAGCTGTGGGCCAGCTGTGGAGGTCTAGAGGCCTGCAGAGGGAACCACAGTGGAGCCAGGTAGTCTGAGCAGATACACCGCACCCTCTGCACTCCTAGTCACCTGCTCTTCCCTTGCTAAACTGTCAATTTAACAGTCAGCATGTTCTAGCAGCAGCCTCGGGTAGACGGCGACCAGGGAGAAGCCTTAGATGGAGCTGGAGCGGAGCATGAACAGATGGGGCCAGCTTGCCAGGCAGGTGGCTAGACCAGGCACTCCTCTACTCAAGCCTCTGGAGGAAAGTTCCATTCTTCTAGACCAAGGTCCCTTTCCTCTTCAGAGTCCCCACATGCTGAAGTCTCTGACTCTGCTGGGCTGTCTCTGCCCAGGGGTGCATTTAGCTGAAGTCCCTGGACCCTGTACAGGAATCCCTCAGACCACCTAATGCAGTGTTCATGCCCTGCAGTGGCACACAGGGTGAACATACACCCCTTTTACTTGCTAGCCTCAAAGCATGGACATTGCTTTGCCCAGGCAAGCAAGGCTGAGATGAAGTGGAAAGGCAGAGGCAGGTTCCTTGACATGGGCAGAGGCATGTCCTGTAGTCACAGGCCATGGCTGTTCCAGCTTCTCTTGATGGACAGGGTGGAGCCAGGTCACAGAGCCACTGGCCCATGCCGGCCATATGCTGGGTGAACGTTACCTACTATGGTGGCCGATCTGTGTGCTCTGATGGCACTGTCACAGAAGGACACTGGCAGAGTGAGGCAAGGGGATCTTCACAGCTGAGCTGACGTTGGGCAGGAAGTGAAACTCTTTACAGTCAGATTCTTCCTGTCAGGCTTCCCGCCCCTGTCACAGGCCACCGCTGGGCATGAACACTCCATTAGGTGGTCTGAGGGATTCCTGTACAGGGTCCAGGGACTTCAGCTAAATGCAGCCCTGGGCAGAGACAGCCCAGCAGAGTCAGAGACTTCAGCATGTGGGGACCCTTGAGAGGAAAGGGACCTTGGTCTAGAAGAAGGGGATTCTCCCTGTGTGGCTCATGACTCTTAACTTTCCTTGCTGGCAGAACCAGCATATCGGGAAAGCAGGGCTGCTGGCTTTCCCAGACCTAGAATGGGACTTTCCTCAGGAGGCTTGGATAGAAGAGTGCCTGGTTAGCCACCTGCCTGCCTGTCTGCCCCCCGCCCCGCAGAGCTGCAAGGTCCAAGAGGACAGACACGGGAAGGGGCAGGTCTCATGAGAGGGGTATCCAGCAACAAGGCCAAGAACAGAGCGGGAGAGCCCTCTGCTTGCTCCCAGGCACATTCCCTTAGAAACTTAGTTCTCCTGACTTCCTAATTTTAGCCATTCCCCAGTAGGGTTCTTGAACTCATTCAATGCAGGTTCTAGGAGCAGAGCCCACAGAGCCAAGGCTGGCCCGGAGGGAGGAGAGGTGAAGGTGGAAACAGCTTGTCCTGTGTTCACTCCCCCCCCCACTCCATTGGGCTGCATCGAGGGCATGGGGAAAAAAAAAAGCCCACAGCCTTTAAACTGGGGGCCAGAGGTAGATCTCAGCCCGCAGGGAGGCTAGACCCTGCCAGGTGATCCCAGGACAGCCAGGGAGGGAGGAGGAGGCTCTCACAGGGATGTCAGGCTGATGGACAGCTGCGGCCATAAGCTGCCAGATGGCTTCTGGGCAGGCAGCAGCTCCCTACCCATTGACCTAGTGCTATCTGCCAGGCTCCTGAAGAGCAAGTAGTAGATGTCGAGCAAGTAGAGCAAGCTTAGAGACGGGGAGAGGTCAGAGGATGATGAGGTGACCTGTGCACAGAGTTAACAAGGCTAGGGTGCGGAAGGAGGGTTGTTTTCTGATATTTTTTCTCCCAGCCCAGATGGTCTTGGATGAGATTCCATGATCTACCCTGACCCACTCCGGAGCTCAGAATATACTGGCCATCCAGATGGGCCAGTGACAGCTTGGCAAATCTTGACTGAAAGGTCTGTTTAGATCTGAGAGGGAGTGCGGGCACCGGACAGAAGGACTACCTGGCAGTCCAGCCCGAGCTCCTTCGGCTTCCTCCTAGCTCTGCCACCAGCTCACAGAGTAGTGAGGCTTCTTGGATCATTCATTATCTTGGGGGCTAGGAGTGGGGTGCTGGCCGGAAGGAGGCCTGATGCTCAAGCTTACTACACAGAAAAGGGACCCAGGGCTCCTTTTGAGCGGAAAAGTGGAATGAACCAAATAGGAAGTCCTGTCCAGTCGTGGGTACCAGGGCTTCTCAGCCTCTCGGAGTGGAAACACTCAGCCAAATGACTGCCCCAAAGGGAAAAGCGGCAGTCCTGTGGCCTGGAGGGATGTGGACACAGTGGCCCAGTGGCTGCTGTAGGCAGCAGCCACCTCTGAGCAGCAAGGACAGTTACCCAGGGGGTAAGGAGATCAGTCACCTGTAGTCAAATGAGCCATCTTCTTCTTTGGGGTCTTCAGGGCCCAGGGGGACATCCTTCTTTTCTCTCACTGGTCGGTAAAGAGAAGACAGACAGACAGACAGATGGGATGATTAAGAAGGAGGTCTCTATTCTCCAGGGTGCGTCTGAACACACGGCCCAAGGACGTCATCACCTTGGGGTCTGGAGAGACGGCTCAGTGGCTAAGAGCGCTTGCTGTACAAGCTTGAGAGTCCCCCGAGTTTGAGTCCCCAGCACCCACGTAAAAAGGCAGGTGTTGCTGTGTGTGCCCATCACTCTGGAGCTGTGGGGCCGGGCACAGGACTCCTGGGACCAGCCTAGCTCCAGGTTCAGTGAGAGACCCTGTCTCAAAGGAATAAGGCAGAGGATGATAGAGCAGGACAGTCAACATCCTCTTTTGGTATCCGTGTACAAGTGCACGCACCCACCTACACCGCACCCCAGACACCATCTTGGGCTCAGTGACAGTCAGTGACAAGCTTCCTTTTAACAAAGCACTATCAATGCCCCAGGCTCAGTCAGTTGCTGCTTCTGCCTCCTTCACACCCCAAGAGGTCTTTACACCCCAGCTGACAAGCCTCTCAGCTCCCTGCCATTTTTCCATCAAGTTGTCCTAACAAACCAGAGATGTCATCCTTTTCTCTGCCAAAGGCAAATGCTCCTTTGTTCGGGCCTTTCTCAGTTTGCTCTGCATTAGAATGATCTTATATATTTCCTCACTGGTGACAGAAGTTAGCTTTCTCCTTCAGGGTGGGGGACTGTGTTTCTCCAAAGCCCCGAGCAGAATGCTTAGAGGGGGCTGCTTCCTGTGTCTGTGGGATGAAGGTGCTCTCTCGGGAGCCTCTTGCTGGCTCCCCCTCCCCCCACAGCTTCTGGGATGATGACATCCAAGGCCTGTCCTGCTGTGCCGTGGTTGGTCCCTCTGAGCTAGTTGTAATACTGAAGTCGGTTATCTCCCCCTGTATTCTTAGCATCTGGCACTGAGCCTGGCATACCATAGGTACTTCCATGAGGGACTTTGTGATGCCCGAATGGGATAACCAACCCATTTAGGAGGTGAGAACAGGCCACAGGATGAGCAGTTCCAGGAAGAGCAAAAACTAGAGTCCATGCCCTGGTTCCTGGGTCGTTTGTCTTCTTACTGTATGAGGTGCTTACCCCAAAGTTGGGGGTAAGGGGGCTGGCTTGAGAGAACTTTCTGGGCTGGGGCACTTTCTGGGCAAAGGCAGGCTCTAAGTTTATCTGGTGAATTCCTTCACCAAGGGTCCAGGTCCCCCTGACTCAGTAAGTGCCCCATGTCTGGACCTCTATCCAGCTCTGGCTTTCTCTCTTGCAGAAGAAAAACAGTCTAAATATAGTGGAACGAAGTGAAAGGATTCACCGCTCACCAACAAGGAACTAAATTCCTACCCTCCCTCACCTGGCAGCGGCATAAGCTTCAGGACCCAAGGGTCTGTGGGTCCTGGGCAGCGAACGAAGGAGACTCCATTTTTCCTGCTCCTAACTGCTTCATTTGAGTTAGCCCGCCCCGGGAGAAAGGAGCATCTGGGGAATGTGTCTGGTGCTGGGGCTCTAGGGCGGAAACAGTTCCATCCCCCACTTCAACAGGGTGGCTACTCCCGGGTTCTCTGTCAACCCGTCTCCCGTCCCCTTACCCACCCTGTCACAGCCAGATGGCTCCCCTGCCCATTTGAAAAAAATAAAAATCATTATTTTCTGAAACAAGAATGGAGAGGTCCTTGTCTTTGACACTGAAGGCCCTCGAGGTACAGAAGAGACGCGTTTCTGTGGGACTTTAAGGAAGGGCCAGGGTGTCATCAGCATAGCCTGTCCCCAGAGCAGCTAAGTCTGTGGGGACAGGCACTGTGAGACAGGCCTCAGCAGGGCGTGGCCCACCACGTGGATTCTCTCTTGATCATGCTGCTTCCGCCTGGCCCCCTACTCTCCATTTCCACTCACTTCCCTATCTCTGCCCTGACCCGGCGTCTTAATGACTCTCAGACTGAAGAAAGCCACTTTGCCCAGCAGATAGGAGATAAGTCAAGGGGAGGCAGGCCACCTCAGTAGGAGCCAGGGTTCCTTCCATGTCTCCCTGGAGCAGCCTAGACTGCAGCGTCCATTCACTCCAGGGCAAATACAATCAACTCAGTTGTTTGCTGGCAGCGTCTAAGAAATAAGCCAAATGTGCCACCGGCCTGGGAGAGCAGAGCCCGGAGGCCTGGATCTGGTGGGGGCCTGGTGGCCCACAGGAGGGAGGGCCTGAGCACCTGCCCCTCATCTCACCTGGGTACTTGCCACCGCGGCTCCTCTTGATGAAGCAGACGATGAGCAGGATCAGCACCAGAAGGGCAATGGCACACATGAGCCCGATGAACCAGCCCTGGGTGGCGATGTCTGCCTGGTTATTGGTGTAAGCTGGCGGGGAGGGTGGGAAGCAAACGGTGAGCCACGGCTGGGGGAGGGGGTGAGGGGGAAGGTGGGGGGAGGCACACAGCTGCCGGGCAGGTTTGTCCCAGAGCCTATTGCTACCACCTAGCTGCCCTGCTCAAGGGACGAAAGAAAACGGTTAAGGAACGAAAAGAGGCAAAGAAAAGGGGTGCAGGGAGCGGAGAAGCAGAAGGCGGGGCAGGGCCCTGTAGGATGGAGACGTTGACTAAAGAGGAGGCACGCGGCATTGCATGAGACTGCACGCGCTGACCACAGCCTGGTGAGACTGGGCGATGGTGTGTGGCAGCACAGTTCTGGCGAATGGCGGGCCTGCGTGGTACCTGTCAGGGGGCTGAGCGTGGCCACGCTGCTTAACCCTGCTGGAGGACACCTTGCGGGCAGGCACAGCCTCTTCGTCCACCAGGCTTTGGCAGCGGCTCCTGAGCCAGATGGAGGTTCAGGTGGCCCTGTGCCTTTTCGAGTCTCCCCAGCTGGACTGTGTACTCTCTGACAGCAGGCAGATAATTCAGGCCCAGGTGCCCAGGTCAGGCAGGCAGTGATGCTGGGTCTGCGACTTCAGGTCACCTCCCAGGGAATTGCTCCTGGTGGGCTGTGACAAGCCAACCTGCCTTCTTTGCTGGGGAGATCATCTCACAGATCCCCTTGTGGTCTGAAGGGAATGCAGGTGTATGGGAGGGCAGGAGCCCGAGAGTCCTTTGAACGTGTCCATGATGTCCAGGGCCTGGGGATTTGGGTTTGTGGGAGAATGGGCTGGGTATCCACTCACCCTTCTTTCTGTAGACTAGAGAGAGGCCAAAGGGGATACTTCCTGAAACACAGCCTTTCAGGGGGCCCGAGACTCAAGAAGGGAAGGATCCACAGAATCCCAGGGGAGCCCAGAGCAGGCCTGGGGGCAAAGGCAGCCCATGGAGTGAGTCACAGCACCATGCCTCCTCCTAGGAGACACACTGGACCTGTGACACCCTGTGCCCTAGCTCCTGGGTACATTTTACCCTTTGCCTGTGTAGGATACAGAAACTGTCTCACAGTCTTCTCAGGGCCAAGCCAAACACATCGTTCCAAGAAGGCTCTCTCCATAAACACCTTTAAAGGAGTGAGGGGCAGGCCCTCGGTGGGGCCTCAGTCCTGGCTGCCAAGTAGCCGAGCCCACAAGACCCGCGGCTGTTACCACCTTGATCTGCAGATGCTGTGGAGGAAAGGCCCAGCCCTGATTCCAATCCCGCGCCTGTCTGCTGTCCCCCCATGCAGCAGCCCCAGACCACACGAGGTGTTAAAATACTCCCTTGCTTCAACTCTTCCGAAACTCCTAATTGCTCTGAGAGGACACCCCGCATTCCTCGTCCAATCAGGCTCTGACAGAGAGCTGACCCTGTCACCAGGAGCTCCACATCCCTCTCCATATGCCAACCCCTCAGCCACTTACTTGTGTTCCTGCCTCTGGACCTCTGCACCGGCCGCTCTTTCTACTGAGAAAGATCATTGAGTCTCTTGGCAACGACTTCACTGTTTAGCTCTTGCCCCAGAACTAGAGGAACACACAGACCCACCCCATCACAACTTCACCTCATCGTTCTGCTGGACTTTGCTGCTCAGGGTCCAGTAATCCTGTTAACCTCCCTCCTTGCCCTCTACACTGCCCATCCTTCCCGGCATCCTTCCCTGGACCTGGAAATCCCGAACCTGCACAGTCTCTGTGGCTGTCCCCTCCTTATGTCTCAAAGGTCTTCCCTTCCCCTTTCACCCCCTCCAGAGTTTCACTGGGATGCAACACCTTGGTCCTTTGCTCCTGTAAGAACCCCTGGACTCCCAGCAGGTTCAATTTCTTCCTCTTTTCTCTCTTCTTTCTGTGTCTTAAAACACAACCCTGGAGGACCGGTTAGACCTTCTGAGACGGCCCCAAGTCCTGTTCCGATCAGGGGGACCCATCATCTCTCAGGGCCTCCAGGTCCTGCCAAGTCTGTTCCCCATTCATAGGAAGCTGACTTCAACCGCTCTAACGGCCATGTCTCAGCTACTGTTTCAAAGGGAGCTGACCTCTCCCACACCTACCTCTGCACCCTGACGCTGACCTCAGGCAAGTCTTGACTTCCAGTTGGCAATCCTTTTAACCATCTCTTGCACCCACAGCCAACTCCACAGCTGTGAGTCCAACACTCTTCCCTAACCTCCTGGCCTGAATTTCCATGCCTGCTCCACATCTAAGGGCTGTTTTCAATCCCTCCAAAACAACTCTGACACACAACGTGCCGCACCCATGCTTTTTGGCACCCATGGGTGCAGTGGGGTTAGCATGACCACTCCCATATGTTACCCAGAGAACACCTCTCTTCTTTCCTGCCACAAGGAATTCAAGCCTGCCTGGTCTTCCTGCCTCGTCCCCACCCTACCTACGACTCTAGACCGTCCCCTCTCTTCTGACCACCTCTCACATTCTCTCCCCTCCAGGCCTCTCTGATCACTCCAATTTACACCTTCTCTGGACTATGCGCTCACTCTCCCTCGTCCACACAAATTAACATTTAATTGTTCTGTCTCCTGGGTCCTGGTTTCCAATTGTGCTGCTCCACTCTTGAGAACAGGGTGTCTTGAACCTCCCAGTACCCAGCATAATGCGATCACTTAACAAGTGACCAGTGACCCCTTGCAGATGAACACATCCACTGAATCCTGCTGTAAGAAAGATAACCTGGGAGCCCACTCTCGGTTTTCCCCATACCAGCCAGTGGCCACATGGGTCCTCCTGTCTACGTTCCATGCTTAGGCAGTAGGTGAGGGGATTACTTCACTTGCGTTTGGACAGTGGCACCCACAGTTTGCAGAGAGGTTGGTTTACATCTCTGCAACCACCCGCTTGTGCCCCCATCTACCCTGTGTTTGTTCTGATACTCTGGCAGCCATCTCCACGACATGCCCTCTCTCTTCAGAAAGAAGGTCCCGGTGCCTGGGGAAAGTGGCTACAGGGGCAGTTTAGAAAGCAAAGGAGCGCTCCACCCCTGCTAGTACCAGGCGAAGTTGAAATGTCAAGCTTCCGACTTGATTGAAAATGTAAAAGATGAAAATTCTCGCGAACTTCAGACACAAAACCAAGTGGGGGGGGGCGGTCAACTGACTACACCTTACTACAAAGCAAGTTGGTGTCTCAAGAACAGAAAACAGTAGAACGTTAGAATGATCCCAGCTTAGAGCGAGAGGGAGTCATTTTAGCGAGGAGTTGCTACCCCCATGCCACGCTCCCTTGAGCTGCTAAACTGGCACTGAGATGCTGACCCTGTCAACCTTCAGAGACACCATTTATACCCCCCCACCTCCAACCGAAAGTGGTGGGGGCTGCTCTTCTTCCACCTTGGGCCTGGCAAGCACAGGTCCAAATGCCTCTTGCCCTGGACTGGAAGCTTTCACATTCAAGCCTTCTAAGCCACACCTGAGGCAAGACTGGTCTTCCCAATCACAGGCGGAGTAACTCTGCCTTGCAGCAAGCTTCCACCTAACTACTCTATGTACCACGCTTTGCAAAATAAGCCAGCCTCCCCATGGCTGGGCAGTGTTTTCTGAGACCAGGATGGAGTACGCAGAAACATAGCTTTCTCAGTCTGGTTTTGTCTGTGCCGTATGTCTGAGCCTGTAGTCACCTCTACCGCCCTGACCCTGGGTAGTGCACTGAAACCACATTGCATCAGTCCTGCTGGAGACTCAGAGTCCTATCAAGTGCTAGGCTTGGTAAGAGGGGCAGTTGGCAACTTGGGGAAAAGGCATCTGTCCATAGTTGTCCACCACTCTGCCAATGATTGCTAATAAACTCATTTTTTATTTAAACACAACATGAATGAGTCACTCTATGGACTTTAGTGCCAATTCCAATTTGGGGCAGGTGTTCATTTTACTTCTCCCTGGAAAAGTTCATGCAACCTCCAACCTATTTTTGAAACATGGGAAATACATTTGCTAACCTGACAATTCATTCAGTTCCCATGTCTCGCTGGAGGAATCTGGCTTGGCCAACAGGCTTATCATTGCAAGTCATTCTCTAAATGGATGAACAAAACAGGGATGACTTTCCTGCCCACACAATGTGGCTGCTCTCTCTCAAGTGCCAGGTCACCTTTCTCCATACAACCTGTCTCACTGTGCATGCAGTCTCTCTGGCCTCCATGATGTCCGATCTGCCTGCTGCCTGCTGCCAACGCATGCCAGCCTCTGCATCCCAGCAGTGAAGCATGGATGGGCCCGTTGGAGTCTCAGATCACATATGTGTAGCCCCTCAGGTTCTAGCTTCAGAAGCTTTAATAAGGAGGTAATTAAGTTCCCAATGGGATCTTTCTGGTGAGGGTTAGAAATCCTGTTAGCGTTCCCAGAAGTCCCTTCTCCTTCCTTCCTGAACCACTGCAGCGTATCATTTACAGACTAAAGTGATGGTCTGTGGTTGACTAAATGACCTGTGGTTGGGGCTCAGAGATGTTCAGAAAAGCTTTACTTGCATGAAACACAGAGATCTGGGTGTGCGTGGGGGCTTTGCCTCTGGAGTCCACCTACAGGGAACTTTTGACATGTGTTTACAGTCACACACTTCAGAGATGAAAATACTTCCCTTTCCTCATGGGGTTTGCACACAGGAGTTTCTAGCCAGCCTAGGAGGAAGAGAACAACCTGTACCCAGAGACAGGGTACGGAGCCTGGATGCTCCAGCTTGCCCGAGAAGGGGTCTGGGAAGACCTGTGAGTGCTACATGCTTCTATGGTTCTTAAGGTAGGCAAGCAGGCAGGGCCTCTCCAGATCCGGCACAGAGAAAGAAAAATGGGTATCGATGACAACACTCAGAGCCAAGTATCAACCATTATCACCCCCCCCCACACACACACCCCAAACTACATGCTTAATACTTGAAACAGAGTAGACCAAACCCAAATGAAGAGTCTGGTCCTTTTCTCTCTGGCTTTCTCTCCAGCCCTTATCCACAGCACCTAGAGAGGCAAAACTCTCAAAATAGGCAGTGCTGGATTCCCCGGTGTCTGTAGGATGGAATTCTACCCTCGGGCATCATCTTTGCGTCTTGCCCTTGAGCTAGACTCAAGTGTGTAAAGAAACAAAATCAAACACATCCAAGAGCTTGGGCTCTCCAACCAGGTCAGAGTCCAACTACCTGTTCGGCTGGCTCAGCTGTCCAGACGCTTGGCTTCCTACATAACAAGATGGCCTGGCTGCTCACTCAGACATCCTGCCTGAGCGCACCTGACTCATCTTCAGCAAGGAGCTGCACGCTCAGATTCTGTGTGCTGGAAATGTGTGGCACTGGTAGAGGCCCACCAGGGAAGACATGCCAGGAGAGACCAGGCTAGAAGAGGTAGGGTGAGTCAGGGGTGCAGATGGACAGTGACTCCCTGGATACAAGCTACCGGCATCGGCCTCATGTGGCTGGGCGAGGGAATAGTAATGAATATTCAAGCCAACATTCAGAAATTCACATAAATCATTGTGGGGTCCCCCTACCCCATCCTGTGTGTCTAATAACCCGCATCTGACTAGGCCATCCCTAGAGGCAAAGGCTGATCCCTTTCTCGCTTAATCCCTTCCCGCACCTCCCCTTTCGCCCCAGGGCTTCAGCCTGGCTGTGTCTCGGATATGAAAGATACACACAAACCCACACCCGCAGACAAGCAAGTGCCTCTGTGGATTGCAGATTCCCAGCTAACCCCACCAGCAGAGAAATTTCTAAGCCTGGTCCCTCCCGAGCCCTAGGTAGCCTAGCCATTTGCTATAATGAAGATGCTTCTTAAAACTGCTACAGAGCCAGATTGTGGTCCTGTCCCTAGCCTGATTAAAAAACAAAACAAAACAAACAAACAAACAAAAACACAATAGCCAAAACTCACTTACTTTTAGGCAGGACAAACTTGAAGTAAAATGAAATAAAAACGGAACAGTGATGTTGGAAGGCAGGAACATACACATTGGTCCCAGGTTTGGAGATTTCTGAATTTAAGACCCTGGGTTTCTCCCCCAACCCACTCATTCTACCTGGAGAGAGCAAGCTCCCAAACAGTGGGGTAGAGTGCACGACTCTCCAGCATACCCTCCCCACCCCAGGGTCCACACACACACTGACCACGTTTGTGCATGCACGACGCCCTTACGTTAGACGTGGTGGGGACCAAGCCTCCCCTGTCCTCACTAGTCAGTCCTTTGTTTCCTGATTCCCCACTCAGCCCCCCTGGCTCAGAGCCCGGCTTGCTCTCCACTGGGGCATGCACACCTTGTGACTACTTCCTGCGGGCCAGAGGCACGCCATGCAAGGCAAGGAATGGGGTGGAGATGAGACCTGTTTCCAAGAAGAGACAAGCAGGAAGCTGGGAATGAGGATGAGATGCCCATGCTCGCGGGGGGATGGCGAGGCCAGATCCCCTCTCACCTGTACTGGTCATAAAGGTGATGACGGTACTGCTGATGCCCTCGTTGTCCCGGGAATACACCCGCAACGTGTACGTCATCCCGGGATAGAGGTCTGTCAGCTGTATAGGCTGGGCCTGGGCCTTAACGGGGATAGTTTTTTTCGTATGGTTGCCTGGGGAACAGAAACCTAGGTCAGCTTACAACCAGGCACCAGGAGCTGGAGAGAGTGTGTTTAGGTCCCTGTTCATCTCTCAAAAGCAGAGAGGTGTGGAAAGGGGGCTGAAGCTCCCCATCCAGTCCTCCACACAGAACAGGCAGCTCCCCGACGCCCAGCATGCACTTCTAGCTCTTACATGACGTCTCCCCCTCAAGTCTCCCTTCCTCACCACGGTCTTAGCACTAAGCATATCAAGACTGGCTGCCTCAGCCTTGGAGCTTTGTCAGCTGCCGCGGAAGTGACTGACTTTCTGCGTGAGAGCCGTGAGAGCCGGCAGGCTGGTTAGTATGTCACGTGGTTAGTGTCTCACATGGAGGTGAGATAGGATCCTTGGCTTCCACTTCACTCTTGGTTTTGTCTCGAACTGTTTGCCACATTGCAAATCCACATGTCAGACCGAGTGTCTATGTCTCGGGGTTGTGGGAGGGCATGACGGTGGCAGGAAGTTGAAAACATCCAGACCTAAATAGAGACTCCAGACCCTGAGGATCTGAAGTCCCCCTCCGATCTCAGAACCTAGCAGCAGGTTTTCATGTCCTAAGAGTTCTTGGCGGGAGGAAGCTGGGTTTTCTGACTGGCTTATTGGCTTCACGGCTTCTAGCACATGCTAGAGAGGTGTGGGCTTCACCCTGCAGAACCAGGGGCCCTTGCCCAGTGAAGGCAGATCTTTGGAATGCGATCTGCAGTCCAATCCCAAGCTCTGATAAAGTGCCTGGCCCACCTTGAACCGCTAGCTGTCTGGTCTGTGTCTGTGACTGCTGCTTTCCACTAGTCTGTGAACAGAGAGCTCAGGTCTGTGCTCTGGCCCATGCAGTGAAGGCATCGGGACCCTCAGAGTCTCGGCCAGGGGATCAACCCAGAAACGAGACCTGGCTCACTCTCTGGATACTCAGAATCCTCATTCTGGGCAAGAGTGGACGCAGGTCACAGTCCACAGATCCGCCACAACACACGCAATTCAAGGCCTTTGCTAATGGCTTCGGAAGTCCCTTTCCCGTTCAAGTCTCCTTCCACCTCTCCTATCTCGGGCAGGGATCGATTTCACGAGACCACAGTGAAGCCAGGCTAAAAGGCTTCTAAGCCTGGGGGAGTTCAACAGGATCTCCTTAATGGGCGTCTACCACTCCCCGCCACGGCTGCACCACGGCCGGCCGCCGCCCCCACCCCACATAGCAATGCTTACTGTCGATGTACTCAACCACAAAGTCAGTTCCAGGCCTGAAATTGTGCTTCCAGGTGATGTTGGCCCATTTACTGTTGGGGAGCACCGTGACGTTCCAAATGGACTGCTCGTCGGGGGCTGGTGGACGGGTTAGAAGAGGAGTTAGTGGTGAGGAGGGAGGGAGCACAGGAGAGTCAGAGGGGCACGTTCACACACGCGCCTACTCTCACACCCAGAGGCTGCTGGGAAAGGGGGGAGGAGTCAGGAGCCGCTGTGCACGAGGCCCAACAGAGCTGCGGGCTGCAGGCTTGCGAGCCAGGCCAAAGGTACCCAGGGATGCGCAGGAGCAGCCGGGGGACCCTGTCTGCGTGGGAAGGGGATCTGGAAGTTGTCTCTCTTTCCTCACAAGAAGGGGTCAGGAACAAGAGTGGGTTTCCAGTCACACCACTGGAGGCTCTAATCGGGATTGATTCCCTTTTTAGATCCCTTGTCATAGATGTGGACAGTGCAAAGAAGGGGGCAAAGAAACAGGCCCCGCGGTCAGGATGCTGGCAGAAGGGAACAGAGCGGGTTTTCCTTCTCAACTGGAAGGAGAGGGGCTGCCTTTGAAAATCAAGCAGGAGTGCTTTGGGGGTACGGCTTAGTACTGGGGTGCTTGCTGGCAATGCACGTTCTATCCTGAGTACCACCCAAAGAAAACCATGTAAGAATGAGATCGTAGGGATGTGATTAAACACAGGAAAACGCTCCTGGCTTCCTGAAGCTAGAGAATACTAATCAGGTGACTTTGATTTGAGGCCCTCCGGTCAATGAGAGCCTAGATGGCCTGTATTGTGCCCTAGAACCTCAAGAGTCCCGAGAACAGTCAGCGTGGATGCCCCTGACACAGGCTAGATGGGACCCAAAGAGGATGGGCTTCCCCCGGCATCCAGCCCTTAGTGTTCTCTATATCAGAAGAACTCCGCTTGTTGGCTTCTTGGCCACAGGGCCACGGAGCCTTGATCTCCTTGTAACAAAGAGGACATTAATTATCAAGCACCTGGGGGCCGGGAGCCACTTTATCAAAGGCACGGTGCTGTCTGAAACCATAGCGCGTATATACAGGAGGATGGCGGCAGCCTTCAAATGCCAGAGTCCCAGAAGTCTGATTACCACATTTCCCAGCGAAGACTTAGCAGCAAGGGACTAGCAAGGATGCTTGTAGTTCAAGGGCTTTACAAACATGGCTCCTGTGTAGCTAATTAGAATGCAAGGGGGCACTGTCACCAACTCGCTTGTCAGGCATAAATGAATAGAGAATATTGGCGATGCATTTATTCATTATCTAGTTGACATGTGATTGAGTCTGCAGGGCTGCGGAAGTGATAAAAGATTTCCTGATTTTTCACTTCAAAGAAGTGTTTTTTTTTTTTTGTTGTTGTTGTTTTCTGCCTCAACCCTGTCAGGTGTTGTTGGCCCCAGGTGAACACAATGTGTGTCAAGTGAGGGCTGAGCAAAAGGCTCCACTAACAACAGAAAGTCTGCTGCCTGGGACGGAGGGAGGGAGGGAGGGAGGGAGGGAGGGAGGGGACAGGCTGCTTTTCTGCTGCGCATGGTCCGTTTTGATCACATCGGCTGCTTCGGTAATCCCCTCTTCCTGGAAGTTCAAGGATCTTGGAGCAGTAATGAAGTGGATTAGTCCTGATCTGGGGGTCTTTCTTGCTCCTTACCTCAGGACTCTGCACCACACCTAGAGAATTTGCATCTAAACAGCCTGACCCCCAATGTGATATTGAGCCAAATCTGACGCTCTCAAAGGGAATGGCAGTCGGGGTTGCTTTTAGGAAAGGCCAGCAGGGGCTGGAGAGATGGCCATGAGGAAGATCCTTGTCGCAAGCCTGTCAAACTCAGTTCAGCTCTCCAAAACCCAAATAAAAGCTGACTACAGAAGCACAAGCGTCACCAAGAGATGGGAGGCTGAAAGAAGAGTCACATGACACAGTGGCGCTTGCAGGCCAGCGCGTGCAGCAAGCAGCAGATGGCCAGAGGCCCTGTCTCGGATCCAGATAGTTGGGAAGCCAGCACCAACACTCAGGGTTGTTCTCTTAGCTTCGTGTACGGACCTGCGTTCACACACACTAACATGCACACAGTAACACGGACACACACATCACACACACAGAGCAAAGCAATGGGAGACCAAGGTGATTCTGAGGTGGGAACCATCAGAAGGGTCAGGGTAATGACTGCTAAAGAACTGGGGTGTTCGGAGGGAGAGACCAAGAAGGTAAACTCTCCACAATTGTGAAGTCCAAAGGAGGCCATGATTAGCAAGTATCGTTCCATGGATTCCTAGCACACGAGAGCTAGGGAACAGCACCCAAATCTAAAAATGAATCAGAGGATACCCTGAAAAAGGAAAAGTTACGAAGCCTTGCATGTTGAGATGTAAGACAAGATGAAGATGGATTTCATTAAAAAGAGTCCTGGGAAGCTGAGATACTTCACATTTGTCCCCAAGCTCGCTCTCTACATGATCCAGGCTGTGGCCAGGCTCTCTGCTGCTTCAGATGTGGTCTACACTTGGGCTGTGAGTCATGAAGCCAGGCCTGCCCGGTATAAGAATGATGTTTCTAGGTCAGGAATGGCCAGGGAGCAAGATTCATCGTTTTTTGAATTCTTGGCTCACTTTAGCTAAATTCAAAGCACTTTAAGGATTCAAAGGCCTGCCCTGATGAAAAAAGATGTCTCACTATGCCCTAAAGGACAGCAACCCCAAGTCACTGATGGCATCAGATTGTGTAGAAGGCTTCTCTCCTGGGTTGACTTTCCCCTTACATTGCATGTTTACATTCTAGTATTGTGTCTCTAACGCACATCAGCATTTCCGAGTGCTGAGGAATGTGTCAGCTGTGAATCACCTGCCTCTGCCTGCGGTTCTCTTAACACCTCGTAACTGAGCTAGAGCAAATACTAATATGAGCATCAAGCCTCCATTTACATTCCGAGGCTGATACGTGGGTGGTCAGAGGCAGTGAGGCTGGGAAGGTGCAGGCTGGGGGTCGACCTATGATTCTCTGGGAACGGGAGCATCCTGGGTACTCTCAGGCAGTCTTTCCAGAGGCTTCGTGCCCTTGTTACGGCCGCCCTATGGGCCCAGGAAGGTAGAGACCCTCTGCTCTATGATCATAAAAGACAGATGCTTGCTTGGTAATCAGAAATGATTGAATCCTCCAAGGATGCTCTATGCTTAAAGTACAGGGACCCTAAAGGCCATTCCCAGAACTCGTGCATTTTTTCCCTCCAAATCTACATTTTAGGGGTGAATGGAAAAGAAACCGAGCACTGTTGGGCATTATGACATGACCTGGCAACACCATTTCCTGCATGCTCTAACTTTTTAAAAGAGATGCCTGCAAGAATTCCTTGGGGACAGAGGCGCAAGGAAGAGGCAGGGGTTCCAGAGGCGGAGACGTGTGGCATGGCAGCCACTGCCTGCTCCTTCTTCTAGCCTCTGTCCCCCGAGGGGGACAGACACAGTGTAGCCAGCAGGTCTCTTGGCCAGGCACACAGCCATCAAAACCATCCCTTCTCACCACATCTATGCTTGAGTGCCCATCCCTGGCTGACTACCTGGAATATGTCTGGGGTTCTCTCTGAGAAGCCCAGTGCTCTGCTGAAGGATGGCGGGATCTGACTAGCGTAAGGAGTGCTGAGTGGTGGATGAGCACCGCGTGTGTGTGCTCAGAGTGGGGACTCTGGGCCTAGTGTGCAACGGAAAACATGGTGGGCTGGTCAACACCACCCCAGAGCCCACTGCTCAGTCTGGGGTTGTCTGGAGAAGCTAGGAGGTGGGCTCAGGGGGGGCCAGGAGCATGGGCAATGCACAATACCGGTTTCGTGAATCTTAGTCGCAATGGTGGTAGTGGGAAGACTCTCGGTGGTGGTGGTGGTGGTGGTGGTGGTGGCGGCAGTGGTTGTAGTAGTTGTGGCGACGGTAGTGGCGATGGTGGTAGGTACGACAGTTGGAATGATGGGGACTGTTGTGGCTTCACTGGTGGCAGCAAGGGCAGGAGCATCAGTACTGCTCACAAGGCCTGTGGCACCCACAGTAGTCGGGGGCAACGTGGGAGGAGCTAAGAGGGAAATTGGAAATAACCGAGTCTGGTTGGTCCGGTAGCACCCAGCTAGTCCATCCGGCCCCCACGTGCAAGGCAGGCATCGCAGTGGGAAGATGGGCTCAGAAGTCAGAAGCTTTCCCAAGCATCTGCACTGGTCCAGGAGGACCCCGGCAACCGCTATACAGCCATGGGAGAGGAAGAGAATGAAGCGGGCCTGTGTTTCATTTTCTTCTCATGGTCTGTGCAGCTTGAAGCACCCAGCATGCATCCAACCAGGGACCAGGATAGTGGCTGAAGGACACACACACCGAATCATTGGGTGCCAGGGATGGCACCAAGTGTGGGTCACACACCACCCACAAAGATCCAGAAATATCATGTGGGTCCAGCTCTGGAGCCTCAACTTGGAGGAGACGTGGGCAGGTGGCTGGGCTCCGCCCTTCAGGGACTCAGAGCAGCCTGCATCTCCCAGCCCCTCACTCCAAAGTCCCCTTTATCATGTCTGTGGTTTCTGTGCGGCTGCCCCGACCCCTGCACCCAAACTTCTAGTGATGCTTTTCTGTCCAGGAGACGCAGAGTCCATGCACCCCAAGTCCTGCCTGTTTACATTAGAACCTAGCATGGATGATGATGTGGCCTGTGATGGACGACCTTAGTCTTCCAGCCTCAGAAAGCCACACAAATTGCAGTGATAAAGGAGCTAAATGCCAGGCTCCCTCTCTGTGCAAATCTTCATCCGGGTCACAGCCAGGCTCATATTTGACCTGACTTGCTCATCCTCCATCTAAAGCGGACTTTTCACATTAGTCGGCCCTGGGACCTAAACCCACAAATGCGGCAACTTTTTCATACCATTCTTCTTCTTCTATAGAACTGTCAGGGAAGCTGGCAAGGGGCCTCCTCTCCTTATTTCCAAGGTCAGGATTTGTTAAGACTCACAGTGTGAGGATGACCAGGCGAGTCAGGGCAGAGCTCTCTCTCTCTCTCTTGTGACATCACTGCTCACGATCTGACCATCGTTCACTTTCTGGTGTTGGCAGTAGGCAAGGGCACAGACACAAACGGTGACCCTAACTTCTGAGGAAGCGTGATATCTCACTCTGCCTCCAATGTCCAGAAATCCTGGGAAATAATATCCCTCACTTCTCCCATCCTCACAGAAGGGTTCGGTCAGGGATGGAAGGGGGGAAACTTTCCCTGGGAGAATCAGGTTTCTGAGCCTCAGCCATTTCTACTAGGAACCGACTTATGGTCTTCCCTGGGGCGCTGGTACTATAAGCCCCTATTGGGAAGAAGGACACATTTTCAAGGCTCCTGAAGCTTCCCTACTTGTAAAATCAGAGCTATTAATGGCCCTAAGTGTGGGGACTATAAAGACACACTGGGAAGAGAACTGTCCATTACATCTTAGAGAATCCAAGGGACATTCCAAGTCAATAACACTGTATTCCCCTAACTCTAGTCAACTTTCAGGCATCAAGAAAGCATGGGGAGGGGAGGGGCGGTTAAGGTGGGGGCAGGGAGCGGAGACAAGCCTTCCTCTCTTGTCTTTTTCAGGGGTGTGTTCAGCCCTAGGCCAGAAAGTCAACTCAGTGCTCTTAACACTCCACACGAAGGGATTGGCTTTATCTACCCACCAACATGCTTGTGGAAGCATGGATTCACAAACAGAAATGTGGAGAGACGGGAAGGCGAAGATCAACTACCTCAGGGCTGGTCCCCTGTCCACCATGACCTTGGCCACGAGTGACAGAAAGAGATTCTGTCCCTCCGAGCAAAGCAGCTCTCACTTAGTTCTTTATGAACGATGTGTTTTCTAGTACTTTTTGGCAGATGAAATGTACACAAGGCCCTCTTTTCTGTGACTCCCCAAAAGGTGCCACGAGGAACCACTCACTCCTTGTAACTTGGGTCCCTGCCCTGCCCCATCATATAGCTCAGGGACCTGGGCTTCCTTTCCCTCAGGTACAGTAGCTGTACATTTTCCAGGGTCCACAAGTCCAAGTCCATTTTCCTCAAAGCCCTCCTGTGACAGAACCCTTTAACAGGGACACACATTCACATCTCTCCTACTCCCTCTGAGCCGCACGCTTTCCAGGGCAGTCCAGCAAGTGCCCTTGGGACAGAAATGCTGAATGGCTTTCCAACTTTGTTCAGCAGCTTGAAGACAAGGGTGAGAAGTGTCCATGGGGACGCTTCCAGCCCACGATCCCCTTCTCCTCTGACAGCCACGCCTGCCAAGTATAAAGGAAGTTCTCCCTGGTGATAGTTCCTGGGTATCTCTTATGGGGCTCTGAGGCAAGCCTCGGGGTATAAGTGAGAAGAAGAGATGGGGCAGGAGCTACCGGCAACCCCCAGTGAGGTTCTGTAGAGTAGACCCTCTGTAGAGTAGACAGCTGGCCCTGACCCACTCATTGCTGTGTCTATTATCCCCAGGATGGAGGGCCAGAGGATACAGGGAAGGTAGAGGCCAAGAGGCCAAGGTACCACAGTCAGAGAGAGAGAGCCGTCTAAAGCCCGGGACAGGTAGGAAGGAAGGGATAAACTTTTCACAAGGGAACAATGTATAGTTCAGGCCATTTAGAGCATTTTACTCCTGGACTGGGCTGGGGAGAGGGTGGAACATTGGTGAGGCCTGAAGTCGGGCTGGCATAAACAGAGGGGGACCACAGGCTAGGCAGACATATTCCTGTGCTAGAAAGTCATTTCTCATCACAGCAGGAACTGTGAGTTTGGAAACAGTCCTGGCTGGTACTGATGGGTGGTCACAGCTGGCCAGCAACCTAGAGAGAGCGCTGAATGTCAAGTACCTAAGATGGTTTTAGCGTAGCCTCGATCTGGAAGCCGGGAGTCGGCCCAGAGAGGATGGGCCAGCCCTATAGAATATCTAAGGCCTCAAGGAAGACACATAGCTAGAGCGTTTGGGGGAGCCTGTGTAGAGATGGAGAGAAGTCATGTCTTGCTCATTTTCTCATCCTCCTAAACCTGCCACCGAGTTGAGTTTTCTATCAGCTACCCACCCAACACTGCAGATCGGAGCTGAGTCAAAGACAAGGACAGCTTCCAGACATTCCAAGATGGAATGTTCGGTCCAAGATGGTCCACATGGCATGAAGACTACCCCAGCCAAGTCACAGATTGTGAGACAGATGGGCAGCAATCCTAGCAGACTGAGGATACAGGTGGACGGGAGGGATTATCTTCACTGGGCGATATAAGAACTCATCAATCTTGGGGGAAGTGCCGGGGTTCGGTGAGGATGAGAAGGAGGACGGTGGTGGGCTGGACACTGCTCCCTTTGAAAATGTAGACCCAAGCTCTACTGCCCCCAGAAGGCACTGTGTACGTAAAGCTGAGAGCATCTGATATTACTGGCAGGTCTCAGATACAAAAAAGTCCAATCCGCCCTTCCCCGTGTGTCGGTGTGGATATCGGAGCCTGGGAAACACACTTGATTGACAGCAGAGACCCTGGTCCCATCCTGCATGGCTTGATGAGTTTAGAACTTTTAAAATTGGAAGGAAGAAGTGGAAGGGGGTTTGGAACAGCACCCCTCACTCCTCCCCTTGCAAAGGCAGCTCACAGGAAGGAGGACCGCACAGACTGTCCTCGGAACACAGCAGACTTCTTGCGGCTGGATCCACTACACTGGGTCTGGAGTGCCAGAATGGGGAGGGTGACAGGAAGATGCTTGACCAATCAGCTTTGAGTTGACTTGTCCCAAGTACCTGCTGTCACAATTGTGGAAGAGACTCACGCAGGAAGACAGGGCAACCGCCCCTGAAGCATGGCAAGAATTGTTTGATCTACCATCCCCAGGCCCTGGACACCTTCTGTGTCTCCCATCCTGGAAGAGGGCTTTAGATCTTTTGGGGAAGCACCGGCCTGGCTGGCCGGCCTGGTTACTGGGGCAGGAGGAAGAAGGCTGAGGGAAGGAAGCATGGTAGTTTTTTTTTTTTTAAAATTACTGGCAGATCTAGCTGGCAAAACATGAAAACATAAGGAGGGTATGCAGCAGAAGCAGAATCAACGTAGGAAGGAGCAGGTGGAAATAAATGGGCATAGGTAGGACAGAAACCAAGTGGGCTGGGTAATATACAGCAAACTCAGATTCCTGCCTGGCTCTTGATTCCCTCACCCAAAGCCTGTGTCTTTACAAAGCTATGTCTTTACAGAACTTGTTTGTGCAGGTACTAGTGTGCCCCGGCTTCTAGCCTTTGTAATATCCCGGGCATTCTCTCCTCAGCTCCTAACTCATGGAAAAATCCAAGCTCAGAGGACCAGGAAAGGAACCCTGGCACCCCTTGCATAGTTCTCTGGCTTAAGGACAGCCCTCCCTCTATGGTAGAGCCCTTTGATGGTCCCCAAACCCATGACATGAGGACTGAAGGGGGACATTGTTAGCATGTTGGCTTTTAACACAGACCCACCTGCCCGGCTCCTGACCCCAAAGGAGAAAGTCTATCTCCACACCAAATGCTGAGGAGCTGAGTTTCTGGGCCAAGGAGATCTGCAATCTCTGACACCCAGTGAGACTCCAGGCCCTGGAGCCCCGGTCCTACTCACAGACGTGCTTGCTTATTCCCGCTGACCGGAACATACGCTAGCTGGTGGGATGGCGCTGGGTCCCCCCATGCAGCATGCAAGTCCAGCATGCATAGTGTGTTCACCCTTTCAGAGGATTGCAGCAGCATCGGGGCTAGGAGCCAGTGGTTCCCTCTCTAGCACACCTTTGAGAGCTATCTCTGTGCTCAGAGATGTCAGGTCCAGCAAGGCTCAGGTGGCCACACTAGGTAGTCTACATATGAGACCCCTTGCAAGCCAGCCTCCTTAGTAGGGGCAAGCACGGCGTGAGAGGAGAGGGCATGTTCACTCCCTCTGGTCAACACTCTCTACACATCTTCCTCTCAAGCCTGGCTTCTCCACTGAAAGGGTGAGCCTGGAGCATGCTTTCGGCCCGAGTCACTTTTCTCTCGCTGGGCTCTGGCCAGCATGGGCTCCATCTGCACTGCCCCGGGCTATGCCCATTACCTCTGTTGCTGGTACAATACCTGCAGTTGGAGTAGCTTCAGACACAGCACCCAAGATGGCCAGAGAGAGTGGGGGGAGAGGATGAGAGGGAAGAGAAAACGGCATAGGTGAAACCACAGAAGAAAGCAGAAAAGGTCTGGCTCAAACCCGACTCCAGCGGCATGTCTAGGGATGTGACTACGGCTCGTCGCCACCCCGAGGATGCTAACTGGTGTTCAGGGAGTCACCCTCAACCCCACTGGAGTCAGGCAGGCTCTTCTTATTCCATCTGGCGCTTAGAGACCTTTCTAGTACATCATGCTTCTACCCGTATTCAAGGACTTGCCATGTAAGAGGCGGCTGCAGGCACAGGTCAGGCAAAATGCTGTATTTCCAGCTCTTTTTCCAAGGATCTGCCCTGCCCTGGCTGGGTGAAGTGACCCCCTAAGATGTAGATGTAGGTGGTGCAGGAGCAACCAGCTAGGCACAAAGATAACCCCTGCACCTTCACAGCAAGATGCTGGGCAGTAGTGGGGGAGGGATCATCCCCCATCTCAGACTCTCCAAGTAGGATGACTCCGAAGGTCCTGGAGCTCTGAAAGCACCTGACCCACCTGACCTGCTTTCCCATTGCCTCAATGCCCCCACCCCCAAAAAAATTGTACTTCATGAAAATAGGAAATTAAACATGACCGAGAGCTCTAGAACAAATCTCTGAAAATATCCACAAATCCCAAAACACCTCTGTCCTCTTGTCCCCCGGAGTTGTAGGATTTTCCCCATCATGGTCACTGAGGTTGGACAAAGGGTTTTTCTTCTGTCCTGGGTTGGGCAGAGAGGCTTTCTGCATCTCTGGAACTATAGAGGGTGTGCCACAGCCTGGCAGTCTCTGGCAACAGATGCAACCAGATACTTACCAGCTCTAATCAACTTCCTGTGTGTGTGCAGAGGTTAGAAGAGGACACCAGGACTGGGAGCTTGTTGTGTGACTACTCCTGATCTAGGACCAGAGAGGGACACAGGGGACTGGCAGTCCACTAGCTTCTGCCTGGGTGCTGCCCCCTGGCCAGAGGAGCTCAGGGCTGCTGCTGCAGCTGTACAGGAAGACTGGTCTGAAGCAGCATGGCCTGGCAGCCCCCTCCGGAAGCACAATGCTCTCCTGGACGGGGAAGGAGAGATGCTCAGAAGACCCCATCTGGGTCAGGGTCAGACCACAGGACCCGAGCCTCCTGGGAGGCAAATACTGGTCACAATCATGGGGGTAATCCCAGAGATGCCAGTTCATATGACCTTTTTTTGATCTCCCCCTTGCATATTAAATATCCTAAACTTCCTGCCCATGGCAGCACCTTAATTTGGGCAGAAAGACAACCAGACATTCTTGTAGATGTCTCTAGACATTGTGAACTTCTTATTACCTTTCTGTCCCTTGCTTTTGGTGTAGTGTCTGGTGTGGTACATGTGGGTGAGTGCTTAAGAAATAGTTGTTGCATAGACCGCTGTACCTCTGGAGAGGCAGAAGGTCCAGACCATTTTACAAGGAGCTACCAGTTTAGAAGCCTCTGCGGCCTTATCATCTCTGGGAGGTTATGCTGAAGCCAGCATACATGCAAATGAACCAAGAGCGCCCTCTCGTGCACGCTCAAGTCAGGCGCAGCTCTGGAGAGGGATCTTGCCATGACTTAAGGTATTAATTAGTTCACCTGCTCTTTGTGAAGCTGGCTTGGCAAAGGGTTGTTCCCAGCCCCTACCTCTCTGCAGCCAGACACATCGTCTTATTCAGGCTGCAGAGGGAGAACATATTTCCTGCTCCACTCTTGACCCAGTCCAGCCACTGCGATCACTGCACTTTTCCCTGTCTCCTTGGCCCTGTATGCCTTTGGCAAAAGACGGGATGTTCCCAGAGTCCTCAGGGAGGACGACGGTCAGTTGTATTCCTGCCTCCCTCAGTAGACGAGCGGTTTGACTCTTTGGAGTTCATCAGAATGGTTATTTCTCGTGTTTCCTCTCAAATCACATGTCCTTTCTTATTCTTCTACAAGGACAGACGGTTGATGTTAAGTAGCCTGTGCAAGTCACGGCACAGTGGAGGACCAGGTCTGCCTGCATGTCAGGGTGATGACTTTTCCAGATATAGTACCGGTACCTATCTCTCAGCACCCAAGACAGGCTATCCCCTGTGGCGGGCGGGGCTGAGGATTTGTGGCCTCACTTCCTTTCCACCCTGGAAGGCCAAGCCCAGCTTCTGGTGCGTTTCTCCAGGTGTCCAGATTAGCTAGGGCCTTTCGCTCCAAGGGCTGCCGCCATGGACCTACCTTCATTTGGAGGTGCTGGGGACTCCTCTGTGGCTGCTTCTCCGGAGCCCACCTGCGTCCTGGCGCTGAGGGAGAAGCGGTAGCGCGACACAGGATCTGCTCTCTGCACCGAGAACTTAGTCTGATTGGGAGAGAAGTTCTCCACCATCTGCTTTCCAAGTTTGGTTCCATTAACTGCAGAGAGAGGCGAGTGGGGAGGTTTATTCCCTGCATGGGTTCTAGAAGCTGTGGCTCGGGCGGCTTCTGGGGTTTCTGGAAGGGGATTGGGCACAAGCTCCCTCCCACTGGAAGCACTGAGGGACCTCCATTGCACTTCAGGGCTCACACGTGACACTGAGCCCACTGTCTCTAGCTTCCCGAAAGTCACGTGGTCAGTTCTGAAAGATCAGTTTACACTTCCCAAGCCCTCGGACAAGGTCAACTCTCTGGGATTCTTTTCTTCTGTTCAAACAGAACTGGAAGAATTCCCCCGGGCTTTTGATGCTGTTGCCTCATTTGTAAAAAGGCCAGCTTCTTCAATACTTCAGGCGAAGGGTCGGGTCCAGAGATCAATTCAGAACAGCGTGGAGGCCACATGGTTGGCTGCTACAGTGTCAACAACATGTCACCGGGCCCTTTGAGCTTCCCGGGGAGGGACAGCACTGCCTACACTTGAACATTTTTGAAGTGTGATCACACTCCTGTTTCCACCTGGCGATCCCGCCCCTTTGTGGTAAGGACTTCCTGACGCAGGTCCCTTAGTCAAATCATTCCACAGTAGCCCGACTAGTCTACAGACGGCCGCCTTATCGAAGGATACCTGCTTACAGTGTCTCCCAAGCATCCCTCGCTGCCTGTGCATACTCTGCCCGCCCAGCAGATGGAGGTGCCAATGGGGGAAGGAACTCTCTTTCTTAGAATGGCACATGTTGGAGACCACAAGCTCCCTACGGGCTGGGATGGTCTCTCCCAATAGACCAGAAGACCCTCTGTCTCCCTCCTGCAGATGGAGCTGGGTAAGAAGAGCAGGACTTAGGTCTTGTCTCCTCTCTTTAATTACCAGCTTTTCCTTGGGAGTCTTATCCCTACGCAATGCCATCTGCCCCCACAGGCTTCCAATCTCCATCCCTCAAGAAAATGTCCAGAAAGGGGTTTGTGATTACATCTGATTTGGAAAAATCAAAAAAAAGAAGAAGAAGAACATACAGGCCACGTATTTGAGAGTGTATCCAATCAGGATTCCATTGGGGTGCTCCGGGTGATCCCACTCCAGGTTGATGGTCTCCAGGTTGGGCTGTCTGACTCTGAAACGCCGGGGGGCACTGGGTACTTGGGGAAGGAGGAGGGAGCCGGGAGATGAGGGCGGGGAGGATGAGGAGAACACAGAAAACAAAGTACAGGCATGAAGGCATGACCTCAAGCATCCCTGTGCTGGACCACTGCTGAACCAGGCCCTAGAACCGTGAGGGTGGAGCCTGCCGCCTGCCTGGCATGCACTTTCACCTGGTAGGAAGCCAAGGAAGGCTCAGATATGGCTGCTGAAGTGGGGGAAGTCAAGTGAGTTTTCCTTTGGCAACTGCCCCGGACTTGGCACACATTAGGCTGCCTCAACCCTGCAAATACAACTCCAAATCAGAGCCACTCCCGGCCAGGGATCCCATCAGAACCGTCTTGTGGCGCGGGTACAGTTCCCAGTCCTCAGCCGAGGGCTCTCACCCCTGGGTGCAGCAGCAGGCCCCAGCTTCTGAGCTGGGGATACGGGCTCCTTAGGGCTCTCTCGGGGAGGAGAGAGAGACTCGGGGCAGACAGAGCGCCCGGAGAGGGGTGGGAGTGATGGGGAGAGGTTGATGATGGGAACCAAACTGAGGGAGGAGAGACAGGGGTAAAGAGAACGAGAGGGAAGGACAAAGGAGAAGAGAGAGGAGGAAGAGAAGAAGAAATGGGAAACGGTTAAGCAGGGAGGGAGGCGAAACAGAAGACTAAGCTTATGCCACGTGGATCAAAGAGCCTATGGGGAAACCAAGGTGAGAACAGAACTTTGTAGATGTCTGGACCACAGGGTCAGACCAAACCATAGGCCCCCAGGAGGGTGGGGTGACACTCTGTACACAGAACTTCCCGTGAGTGTTTCTTGATGCCAAGGGGAGGCTTGTGCATGTCTTCGGTGCCGGTAAGCAGGACATCGAAGTGGCCAGATGCCACGTGTGGCCTTCACCTCAGAGGAGGTGCTGGGGTCAGTCTGAATAGCCTGCGTCTGGAATGCACTGGCACACCACACAGATCTCTTGAGACACACGTTTCCGTAAGGACGGTCCACCTCGGTGATGGTCATCGGCTTGCTGAGGTCACCCAGGCTGTCCATGCCAAGGCATGCCAGAGCTGCTCCAGGCTCACGGGTAACACTACCTCATCCTACCCCACCTTGAAGAGCTGCAGGTCGGACCTACCTCCTTCCGGGGTGGTGAATTCCTTGGTTTCGCTGCGAGGCCCATCGCCTCTCCCATTGACCACAACCATCTCCAGCTTGTAGTTACTGTAGGGGAACAGGCGGCCCACCACGCCCCGGGGGCGGTCACCAGGGAAGCTGGCCTGCTGTCTCTTCTGAGACACCCACAAGTTCTTCAGCAAACTGCTTTCCCTCCAGTAGTAAGCCTTTGAGACAGAGGCAGGCTGGTGAGGGACCAGGCAGCAAGGCCAGGTTAGTGGTTAGTGGTGGTAGTGACTGGCCCTCCCTTTGCTTGCTACAGTCTCCCAGTCTCAGATGACCTCGTCCACCCCACACAGATTGGGGGGATAGCCTTATGGTCCTCACTCATTAGCCACTCATAAATAGAGTGATACTGAACACGAAGCAAGGCTGTGGTTTCACTCATGTTTGGAGCCGTACCACTTCTTTGGAGAATATGTCCAAGCTGGGTGACGCGTCACACAGGGAGAGTCCACCATGCCAGAACCCCAAATGCAAATCAGGGGTCCTGGCGCAGAAAGCTGTGCCTGACGCTCCAAGACCACCTCGCTTTCAGTTGGATTAGTACAGTTTAGGGAGCCCGCAGGTGGGCACGCAAGGAGCAGGTTGTCCCACACAGTCGGAGTATGAGCAATGGTTGGTTTAATTCTCTGAAGCCAAGTGATTTCTTTATGTATTGTTGAAGATCTTTAGAGATGGCAGACACGTGTCCAAGTAAGTTGGGGTGCAGGACTGTGCAGTAGCGGAGCTTGGATGGGAAGGGTGGCCTTGGAGGGTGGTAGAGGTGAAGGGTATAATGAAGGTCTTATTAGCGGTGGGTAAGAAGCCACAGGACAACTTGTCACAGCAGGGTCACCAGCGAAGTAGTGAGGAAGTTCAGATTTACGGAGCCTGATAAGTACTTCGGTAAGAAAACTCTCCAGGCCAGCAGGTTAAGGGTTAAAAGTTAACTGTTGGGGAGGAGCTAGAACAGGGGCACCTGGCCTTCCTTTCTTTAGTTCACTGCCAAGTTCATTTCCCAAGAAGGGACCGACCCTTCTGTCTGTCCCCAGCTGTCCATCAGCCAACTCTTGATGACCTCAGAAGTCACAGACCCAGTGGTAACCCATGGCTGTATCCTCCTGGCAGCCAGCCAGCGGCAATGTAGCTACCCTCCTGAGGGAAAATCCTACCATTTCTCCCCCAACCTCAGCCCAGCCCTCTGAGGACACGTGACTCTGCAGAAACCGCTCCCAGGCTAAAGCACCAGAGGCCAGGGCCCTCAGAATCTGTGTCGGGCAGCAGAGTTGGCTGCGGCAACGGGGAGGCAGCATAACAGGGTGGCTTTGCCGGTTAGTGTGGCTTTCTGGAACCAGGTCAGGGAAGCAAACAGCTCGGCAGGACCCTCTGAGGGAAAGGGTGTAGCTGTGAGGTGCTTCAGTGATGCATCCGAAGATACACATGTCAGTTCATACATGCATACCAAACACATGTGCTCTGCAGGACCAGATCAAACCCAGCACCCTCCTATGGAGTTCTAGCTGAGCTGGACCTTTAATATACCATGTGTGTTCATATAGTCGTGAGCTGTGTGATGCTCTGCCAGCAAGGGACCGTGTATGATAGGACAGTGGTCCCATAAGATTCTTCCACCTAGTGATGGTGTTGTAGCCATCATGATGTCGTATTATACTATTTGTATGATGGTGCTGTGCAAGCAGGTCTATGGGGCTGCCAATCACAAAAATCATAGCAATACAACTGGACCGCTTGGTAATGACCATCACTGGGTTTACACATTTATAATCCTATCCTATGCTTCATATTTACTCAATACTCGCATTCTGCCTTGTAGTGCTGGGGCCTGAACCCAGGCAGGTTCATGAGTGTTAGGCGAGCATTCTACCACTGAGCTACGCCCCTAGGTCCTACTTTATACTTCTGATCCTATTTAGAAAGTGCAGCTTACTGTGACACAGTTTTCAGTGTTACACTGGTAACAGCCTCGCGCATCTGAAGCTTGCTGTGTGCACTGATGGCAATAAGTGGCCATGCTGGGGAACTGGCTTGTATCAGCTAGGTTTGTCTCGGCATGTACCATGATGCTGGCACAGTGACAAAACTGCCGAATGATGCATTTCCTAGAACATGTCCCTGTTGCTAAGTGAAGCATGAACATAGGTATAATATACATGAATATATGTATGCATGTATACATCCCCCACTGGGTAATTTTGAATTCCAGAAATCATCTTGAATCAACTTTAGATCCCAAGTATTCCTAGGGTCCCTTCCGGATCCCCTACACACCGCGGCGGCGGCTGCCCCTTGCCCTGGTTAGCGAGCGAGCAGGTGGTTAGGTGGGGCTGGGGGCTGGCAGGTGGTTAGGTGGGGCTGGGGGCTGGGCCTCCTCACTCGATACTCTCTGAGCTGGCCTTGGACCGTGTCAGAGTAGACTCGGTTCCACTGAAGGCTGATGGCTGTGCTGTTCATGACTCGGATTTTAACTTCCGTGGGTGCAGCTCTGGGATCTGCAACATGTAGGGACAGAGAGCTGGTTATACAGGCAAGGTTGGCGCTTGGATTCTAGGGTCCCCTTGGATGTATTCTGACAGCCTGTACCTCCACTCTACTGCGTACTGGGTACTCCAGACCACAGTGAAGTCTCAGGACTCAAGGGTGACAATCCAGGTGACCGGAGCAATTATTTGTGTCACTCGAGTGCTGGGATCATCGACCTTCCTATCCACTCTCTATCTGTCCGCACTGCTCTGTAGCCTAAGGGGCGGCTCTCTTACCAGCCAAGTACCTTTTCCTCAGGCTTCTTGAGGAGTTTGGCCAATGGGAGGTGCCAACATGAGGTGCCAGGGTAAGAGTAGAGGGAGAGCGGACATGGATTCCCCTGGCTTCCTCTGCTGGGCTGCAGGTTGACGGTGCCACACTCCTCTGCCCACAGCCACAGCTCCTAGGGTGATGATGCTCACAAGCGGTGGTGACACATGTGTCCCCGGCCCCTCTGAGGCTCATAGGTTCCAGCCACCCTCAGGAGGCTCAGAGACCTTAGTATTTTCCTCTGATACTCTTCAGACATTTTCAAGCATCAATTCTGAGTGTACCAAAAGAAACACTATCTGCAGACAAGAGATGCCCCAATGTCGTTCAGAAAAGAAACATGGCTCTGTGACTCCTGCTCTGTAGTCAGAACAAAGCTGCCACAGTGACGCACAGGCCCCAGGGTGGACAGCTGTAGTGGAAACTCTAGGGTCATCCGGGAAGCCTGACATCACACTCACTGACTGGGGCCCCCACCAGACTCCTGTAGGGAAGGATCTTCCACCGTAGAGGTGGGACTGGGATAGGCCCCTTTGTTCATTTCCAGTGGGTCCAGTCCATGACTGCTTCTGGGACTTGGGCCTCACTACATCCCTCCTCAGCATCCTGGGGCCACGGACCTTCCTTGGAGCCCCATCCTTCCTCCTGTGTCCACGGCTGCTAAGATCTGACCTCACCCCTTCCTTCTGCTAACCCCATCAATCCCGCCATCTCTTCTTGGATCAGACACAGACCCAACTGTTGAGTCTGGTTGACTCTGGTTGACTCTGCTTTGCTCAGGAGCTGTGGGACTGATGTCCATGCACTGGGCACAGAGGCCATGCACACACTTTCACATATAGGTCTAGAATGTTGGTTTGCCCAGAGTCAACTTCCTAAGAAAAATCAAATTTCATGTTCAATTCCAAGGGCTGGGAGCATTTCTGGAATGCTAGAAGATGGTGGGTCAGGGACACTCTGGTTGGTGCTCTGTAGACTTCACTGTCTACGGCTCCCCTGTGGTAGGAGTCTAGCCTATGCTCAGCTTCCTTGGAGCATCTAAATAGCTCTTTCGAACAGCAGTCCAGATGTTTTTCTTGGTGCCTGCAAGGCTTGGCAGTAAAGCAACTTGTCTGGGGATCTGGGGACCTGGGTTCTATTTTCAAGTGTGACCATTTGCTGTTGTAGAATCCTGGAAAGGGCTGTCTCTAGACTCTCAGTTTTTTTTTTTTTTGGTTTTTCGAGACAGGGTTTCTCTGTGTAGCTTTGCGCCTTTTCCTGGAACTTACTTGGTAGTCCAGGCTGGCCTCGAACTCACAGAGATCCGCCTGCCTCTGCCTCCCGAGTGCTGGGATTAAAGGCGTGCGCCACCACCGCCCGGCCGGGACTAGACTCTCAGTTTTTACAGCTGTAAAGTTTCAGTACTGGGCTAAGTGGGGATGTGTTCAAAAGGCAATTCTCCTGATGCTACCAGGTGCTGCATGGCCTAGGCCACAGTAGGGCAGCCCTATCTCCTGGGAACTGGTTGCCCTTCCATGACATATCCCGAGTTCCTCAGCCCACGAGGGTGGCCATGTACAGTTGGCAGTGAGGGCCCTGTTGGGGAAGGGAAGGGGGCCAATACTCACAATCTTCTCCTGAGTACCCAATGATGGTCTCAGGCTCGGGACCCTTCCCAAAGTCATTTTCAGCCTGGACTCGGATCTCATAGGGTACGTAGACAGGGGTCTGCCCCACCACATAGCGAGAGCCCCGCACTGTGACATTGTTCCAAGTTTCCCGGGTCTCTCTCCGCCGCCACTTGACGATGTAGCGCAGGTTGGGGCCAAAGGCAGAGGTAGCATTCATGGGCTGTGCAGGGAGAGACAGACAGACAGGCAGACAGGGGGACAGGGTGTTGTAGGTAAAGCCACCCACAGCTTGCCCTGTCCATCTGTCCCAGACACTCCACCCAGGCTCTGCCTGCGATCAGCCAGCTCCTTTCCAGTACAGGGGATGGTACCCCACCTCTGTTGAGTCCCCCCAAGGCCTAAAATCCCAGAAACTCTGTAGGACCCAGATTTTCTAGGACAATAGGTTCACCAGAGACTTAATCACGTTGACTGCAAGCACCACCCACACCGCAGGTGCACAGGGAACAAACGCCTTACTTGGGGCGAACTTCTTCCTATGACAGAAGGAGCTGGAGACAAACACTGACAGTCGTGATCTCCAGAGTCAGAGAGAGGACTCCTATCTAACCAAACTACTCTCCTGCTGATGAGCTCAAAATTCCAGGACTGACTTCAGTTCCACCAAATCCACATGTCTGTCTTGTCCTTCTCCATACATCAGAGCTCACTAAAGATGGTCTCAGCTGTGGCCCACAGCCACAGCTCCTAGGATGATGATGCTCACAAGCGGTGGTGACACATGTGCCAGCCGGGCGGTGGTGGCACACACCTTTAATCCCAGCACTCGGGAGGCAGAGGCAGGTGGATCTTTGTGAGTTCGAGGCCAGCATGGTCTACAAAGTGAGATCCAGGAAAGGCGCAAAGCTACACAGAGAAACCCTGTCTCAAAAAAACCAAAAAAGAAAAAAAAAAAAAAAAGATGACTGCCACCCATTCATCCTAAGGACCTGGCTCAGGAACCCGGCCCCTAGATCTGGCCACACAGAGCCACAGACCAGCTGTCCAGAGCTCGAGTTCAGCCCAAAGCTGTTGGTCAAGGATGTTGGGGGGCCAGGCTTCAGAGTGATCGGGCTGACGGTGACTCTGAGGAGCACCAGGTCTCTGCTACTTGAGGCAGTGAGTGACGACATTTTCAGCTTTTAGGACCAGTTTAGAAAAAGTCAGTTTCTAAACATATATCCCAGTTTTAGTTTGGAAAGTGTAGTCAGGGAGCTAGGGTGAAGTTGAGAGCCCCAGCCCGAGGGAAGCCTCTCAGGTCATCTCAGGCCCAGGCTCTAGAAAGGACCTGGACTTCATGATGGCTCCAGAGCCTCCCACAACCCACTGCCCAGAGCCAGCATACATCAAGTTCAGTGTTGGTGTTTTGCAAGTTTCTCCTTCCTAAAGCCCGAGTCCCTCCTTCAACACCAGGCCATTTATTTTGGTGGCTTTCTTGATGAATTTGGCTAGACTGGCAGTCTGTGGAATTGGGTGACCTCTGCTCCCATCTCTGTTCTGAACTCCTGCTCCGAGGACCTTGTCCTGTTTGGTGTCTGAATGCTCAGCTCGGAGATCAGCTTGGTTCTCAGAGGACAGTGGTCCCAACCAGTTAGATGGTCTAAAACATACTACGGCCCCAGGGAGTAGGGAATGGGGGCTCCCGGGCGCCTGCGGGTAGGCGAGTGTGGGGTGGGGAGGTACTCCTACCGTCCATGTGATCTCCATATTGTTCTTTCTTGTTCCTTCTCCCTTTACATCGCCGGGATTGGACTCAGGGGCTGGAACCCAAACAGATGAAGCTTCAGTCACGCCTGACCAGGGTACCCCGTTTGCTTCCCACCTGACTGCCCCTTCTGTACTCTGGCTCTTCGCAGCTGCCAACTCTCTTTTTCCCCCATGCATGATACATCTTCCTAGCTAAGATTTAAAGTGGACCTAATTTCCTCTCAGTTTAATCCTTTACCAGACAGCACTCATCACAGAGCTTTCCACACTGCAGCTAATACATGTTCCCCTCACAGATCATCCACTAGCATGTTCAGCGGCACGCTGGCTTATCCTGGCATTTAATGTTTTGGGGCAAGCATTTCTACCTCCATGAGCTGGTGTGATCCCATAAACCCCAATCTTATCCTAGTGTGCTAGGAAGAGAAATCCGACATAACACCAGCTTATCTGTTTTTTTTTTTTTTTTAATGTAGGCCTCTGTCACAGCTCTGCCCCTTCAAGCAGATAATAAAGAATCATTAACAGTCATAAAAGTGGCAGTTAAGATTTATTATGCGCTCATTACGTGACAGGCACCACAGTAAGTGCCCGGCATGTATTTTCTTTTGTCTTCCATGTGCTTCTGTGTGTGCACATGTGTGGAGGTCAGAGGTCAATATTGGGTGCCATCCCCCACTCACTCTCCATCTTAGTTTTTGAGATAGGGTTTCTTACTGGACCTGGACCTCGGTGGATTCAGCTCCAGTGGCTAACCAGCGAGTCCCAGAGATCCTCCTGTCTCCGCTTCCTTAGCGCTGGGATTACACACGTGAGCCACCATGCCCAGATTTACATGGCCATTGGGGATTGAATTTAGGTCCTCATGGTTCACAGCAAGCATTTGACTAGCTAAACTATCTTCCTGGTCCCCAAGACACATTTTTTTCTAAAAATCTCTGTTTAACATTATCTATCTATCTATCTATCTATCTATCTATCTATCTATCTATCTATCTATCTATCTGTTTGTTTATGTATCATGTGTATGTGTGGGTTCACATGTGCATAGTACATGTGTGAAGGCCAGAGGACAACTTTTGGGGAGTCAGTCATCTCTTCCCATCATTTGGGTATCAGGGATCAAACTCAGGTCATCAGACTTGGCAGCTGGTGCCTTTCTTCCCTGAGCTATCTCTCCAGCTGTTTTAAGCAGGATCCCCGAGAGGTATGTTGTAGTAGGACAGGCCCATAGGGTCGAGGAAATTGGCTCAAACCAGTTGCCAAGGAATGCACAGAATGTACTTCCTTATGAGCCAACCTGGAGTGTGCCTGGGGGTCTAGCAACAGGCGCTGTCAGAGTTCCTGATCATGCCCAGCCAATGAGGGATGACCACACAACGTCACCTGATCTGGGACCCAGCCTGGGTGCTGAGAGGAGGGTATATAAGGCCTTCCCCGTTATTGAATAAATGAGTCTGCTGTTTGCCTTCAACTGACTCTGGGTGTCTGTGTTGTGTTGACGCCCATGCCTTCTCACCCGCTTCCCCAAGGGAGCTGTTAGGATCCAGCAAAGGCATGTGTTACTCTAAGATGAGGAAGCCAGGCCTTGGACAGCCAAGTAACTTGCCCCATGGCTGGGAGCTGGGAGAGAGTCAGTGCAAACTCATGTCACCCGGAGCTCAAGTACTCACGTGCTCCGCTGGTTCTGTAGCGCTCAGACGGAAGGCTGGGGTGGCTGCTCCCAACCTCGTTGACAGCAATGACTCGGAACTGGTAGTTGACATATGGGGAGAGATGGAGGACGGCTGAGTTGACGCTGCCTGGGAACTTGGAGTGGTCATGCCAGACCCCTGGCTGGAACTGGTCCTCTTCAAACTGGATGACGTAGTCTGAGTGGACAAGGAGGACAGAGCTGTTTTGGGAGTCACAAAGTCCTGCTTTAGAAGCACGTCTTTCTTGGCTTCCATTTATCTTTACCATCTCCCCAGGACAGACAGCGGCATGTGAAGACGATTTCCCAAGATCCAGGGAGGAATCAAGGCCTCCATGCGTGGGCCATGAGGCAGGGGAGGGAGCAGACACTGGGGGGACCTAGTCCAAGGCTGTTAGGTTACCAGCTCTTTCTGGCTTTGGAGCGCAGGGCCCTGGGCTGACCTGTGATGGGGCTGTTGTTATCATCCCCTGGGATCCAGGTCAGCCGCACACTCCTCTCAGCCAGGTCAGTGAGCTCCAGGTCCCTGGGTCGGTCTGGCCGTCCTGACAGCAGAGGAAAGAGCTGTCACTCTGAGCTCCTGATTGGCAGGCAGTCCCTCTCCCTGGGGTAGGTAGTACTAGTGCTGGACAGGGTCCCTGAGGGGCTCAGGTCTCTACTGCCAGCAGATCAAATCCCAGCCTACCCCGGAGGGCCAGGGCAGGAACCACCCCCTTCCCTCCAGGAAGAACCAAGAATATCAGAGACTGGAACAAGGAGGATCAGGCAGGGTAGAGGGAACAGGGGCCACTTCATCCTGTTTCTTCGGATCTTTTAGAACCCATACTTTGGGGAAGGCTGCTGCTTCCATAAGAGAGACTTCGGGGAGGTACAGGGTCACCTCATTTCTCATAATTACGCCTTGTTTCTCTGGACCGGAGCCCAGGAGAGCTCTGCAGTGCTGAGCAGGGCAGATAGACGAGGGAAGTGGAGAGGGTACAAAGGGAGACCAGGCCCAGCAGGACGAGACTTAGTTTGGGTTAAGTGAGGGAGAAAAACGGAGGGGGCCAGAGGCATCCACATAGGAAGAAGGGAGACAAATCCTTGGAGGGGGGGGAGCGGTTCTAATGAGTAGCAACATGTCCTGGCTTTGGGAGAGTCATCCAGCCATAGAATGTAGGTAGACCAATTTTCCCCATATTTTACCTCCCCGAACCAGCTATTATGTTTTGGCTGGTACTGGGAAGACGTAGACAGTGTGTCACTTAAGTTCACATTTCTGTGTGTGTGTGTGTGTGTGTGTGTGTGTGTGTGTGTGTGTGTGTGTGTGTGTGTGGTGTTGAGGGAGGGAGTACACACAGGTGCACAGCAGTAGATGTGTGGCCGTCTATAAATTGATGAGCCTGTAGGGGATACTCTGAGGACGCAGCCTTCCTGACTGGCCATTAGGCACTTCCGGGGTGTGGCCAGGGGCAGACAGCAGGGGCCTCAAGGAGGGCTGAGTGGCGTGGAAGGAAAGGAGATAATTGGTGGTCTGGCCTGCAGAAGGAGCCCAGGGCAGGGTTGTGATATGGTCCAGGGATGCATGAGGCTGCGGGTTCCTGAGGGCCAGGGGTCACGTGTGGGGCAGGTGGAGCGTTGTCCACCAGCCTGTAATGTGCAGTCTTCTCGTGATTCCTCTTCCAGATTCCACCCCTGGGCACCAGAGCCCCCATTAGTACCAATTACCTTTGGGTAGGGCAGCCAAACGGTTAGTTGGAGTGGCCTGGTCAGCTGCAACAGTAAGATGGGTTATCCAGGTTAGCAGGTTAGCAGGGTTAGAGAGTTCTAGGATGGGAACGGATAGATGAGGCTTTTGCAGCTGTCTGTGTGCTGTGGGGGCCCCAAGCAAGGCTGCACCCTCCCTTCCACAGACAGTCCCCGCTCCCAGATGACGCCTTGTGTCTCTTCCATGGCCTAGAGGGCGCTTTCTTCCTGTCCAGATATATCAACATATCTGGGCCCATCGTGGCCAGCAAGTGTGACCTCCCTGCAGGTGACAGCAGAGGACCTGCCTCCCTGGAAAGGGGTGGCCGCCTTCTCTTCTGTTCACGATGTTTGATGTTTGTGGTCCAGCCTGGGCACACAGCAGGAAGGGGCGGGGTCATTTCGTTCAGTGTGAAACGGCACAGTGTGACATGCCACCAAAACCCGGGGCAGCTGGGAGGAGAGAGCTGGAGAAGGGCGGGAAGTGCACACACACCACATACACACACATATATACACACACCACATATACACCACACACACACACCACATATACAGCACACACACCACATATACACCACATATACACCACACACACTCACCACATATACACCACACACACACACACACACCACACACACACCACATATACACCACACACACACACACATACACACACATATATACACACACCACATATACACCACACACACACACACACACCACATATATACCACACACACACACACCACACACACA